GGGACCTTGTAGACCTGGGGTGGGTATTTGCCTAAGGGGACAAATTTGAATCCACCTTAACTAACAGAGGGCTTTGTGCCCTATCGATCATATCCTATTGATTAATATCTGAAGAATTTGATGTCAATAAGGAACGTATTGGCTCTGACCATAACCGGTATTTCATGATGCCATTTGGCGGCAAAACCACTTGGTTCAGAGGGCCCCGGGTTATAACCGTTTATCCTGCGGCGCCATTTGGTGGCAAACCGCCGGTCAGAGGACACGTACCGAGTCCTTACTAGCAAGAGATTGTTTGAGAATGGATCCTAGTGATATTTTCGACTAGGCATTAGCTCTTTGTGAGCTGAAGTTATATTTAAATTTGTCCATCTCGGCAAATTATTGCGGATGATTGATGGATTTTGCTTTGAGTGGTTGATGATTGAGTTTCAATTTTAAATATCTGGAATTTAGAATTTTCTCTGGATTTTGGATTTTTGACTGTGGAGTTTCGGATTTTTGTAGGTATTTGAGTGGAGCTTTGGAATATTCGAAATGGATCCCTATGTTTGAGATTTGCATTCAACATGGTCATCATCGGGGTGTTTGGGGGCATTCTCTTTTGTTGATTGAATCTTGTCAACTCGTCCGAGTTGTTGACCGAGGATCGGGTTTCTCGTAGGCTTTGTGCCTTTGTTTGTGAATTTTCTTGATTAAAGGCCTTGAAGGCCAATATGAATGTATTAAAACAAATACACCGGTCCCCACAATCGTGTATTTGTTTGAAGGTTCGAACCCTTTCGACTCCAGTTGATCCGTATAGAAGGATCAGGTTCGAACCTGAATTCACTTATTAACTCGCGCAGCATCCCTAGACGTCATGTGTGTACCAATAACATGCTCGCCGGGGCCCATGCGGGTTTTTTGGTTGTGTAACCCTTTGTGTACCTATGTGTATACAAACTATAGTGCACATGTAGGGGTACATTGAAATAATTGTAGTTGTGCAAGTATCTGCCATTTGAGTGCACACAACTTTTCATTGAAGAGCTTATACACGCCTTCTGTCCGCTTGTACGAGTGTTGCGGATCCGGTGGCTGTGTGTTGTAGATTGTAAACACCTTCTGTCTGCTTGTATGAGTGTTGCAGATCCGGTGGCGGTGTGTTGTAGATTGTAAACGCCTTCTGTCTGCTTGTATGAGTATTGCAAATCTGGTGGCGGTATGGTCTTGATGTTGAATCCCCCCTTTCTCATTCACCGGGGAGGACTTCTTTGAAGTTCGTGACCATTGCTTTAGTGTAGTGGGCTTGTTATTTTTGATATTTATGGATGCCAGAATTATTTCCTCTCTAAGTACATGATCGAGAAGAAATTTTGGGACACCAGGAAGTTTAGTTCGAATTTGCTCAAACATCTCTTCCATTCTTTCAGGAGGTGTCCTTTTTCGTAAATCGAGTTGTCTTTGCACCCGACGTACTAGCAGCATTTCATTCACCACTATCGTAGGTGATACTTGTACTTGTGTCCATACTGGTTCGCTGTGCTTACGATGTACTCGCTATTGTTATCTACAAGTATTCATTTGCAGGGGACTGTTGTATCCACTACGATCTCCTGGAAGTGTTCATAGAAGAATCATTGTCGCCTACGTTATATCCACCTGTCACCAATCTCAGGTGGGTTTGTTAATTATATTTGCAGTTGTTTGTAGGGACGGATCTCTGATTGCAACATATGGGCAGTACTCGTACACCTTGCAACGGTCTGTTGCTACTTACAAGTACAGTGCATTGACTTTGTAGGGACTGTTGTAGGAGTTTGTTGCATTATGTATGACGAATGTTGGATGAAGTCCACTCGTCACTAATTCCTTCATACATTTGGACCCCATTGCTTGTAGGATTCTGTACATTTAGCTACATCTTGATCGTGTGTTTGTAACATATGTTCATGATTGCTTGCATGTAGATGAGCCATGTTGAGTGTCACAAATCTTCTATTTTCTCAATTAGAGGAAGAAAGGTGATGTTTGAATAACAATGGATCCTTTATTTTATTGTTCAAGCCTCTTGCGGTCTGATCTGAACTCAAGTCATTTGTCATTCGCATCCGAGTCCAGTTCAACGTCACTTGCTCAAGCTTTGTTTTGAGTTTGACTTCACATTCAAGACATGGTTCATTGAGCTTCAAACTCTAGTAATCTTGAAAGTCCAATCTCTTATTACTTTAGTTAGAGTTTAAATTAAGTCTTTCATTTGCATTTGTCCAAGCTTTGAGTCCAAGCATAGTTCAGACTCAAAGCCTCTTCCGCCCGTTCGAGTCCCCTGCAGTCCTTTGAGTTCAATTGCATGTTCACTTTCTTTTTGTTCAAAGTCCTCTGGAGTCTTTATATGTTCATTTTCATGTTCAAGTTGACTTGGATTTGACTTCAATTTAGTCTTGTTTTATTAGGATTTGACCTTGATTAATCTTTTAGATTTAGTTCAGGTCCAAGTCCACAAGTCATTGTTCATTTGAGCCCATATCTTTGTTCTTCTTTTTGAGTTCAAAACAGGTCCCTAGTGTAGCAATATTTCACTCAAAATTTCGGCAGCCTCTCGGCGTCTCCCCCGTTTAGGGGAAAACTACGAAAAACTGGGTCTTTCCCACCACGCGCAACAAAGGCGTGCATGGTAGGTGCCCTCTTGCGAGGACACCGCGACCGTGTAAAGTTTTTGTCCCCATCACGCGCAACAAAGGCATGCATGGGGTCTTCGGTACCTGTTGCAAGAAAAGAGCAGTTTGCTTTCGCCCCGCCCGGGGGTACTTATGAATTGTTCCGGCCATGCTAAGAAAAGAGTGCACCAGGCTTACCTAGCCTTGTCGTCTGCGTCGCACCGGGTTACCTCCTACCACGCTCAACAAAGTCGTGCTTAGGTGGTTTGCTGGCTCAACACGCATGTCGAGGCAGGAGGGCGAGGGTTCGCTCGCTTACCTCGTCATAGGTATCGCGCCAGGTTCCCTCCCACCACACTCAACAAAGGCGTGCATAGGTGGTCTGCCGGCTCGACACGCCAGTCGAGGTAGGAGAGCGAGGGGTTTTATTTTATTATTATTCATATCTTTTTTAATTAATATTAATAATAATAATAATTAAATAAATCGGAGAAGGGGTGCACCCAAGGGGAGAAAGTTTCTTCACCGCGAGCTCCCACCGTTGCTTCTGATCGAAATGCCGGAGCTCCCGATCCAACAAAGAAGGGAATATCTTCGAAGGAGCGAAGTCGATCGGCTCTGAAGGAGACGAAGAGGGGGGCGGGCTCCCGGGGTTTCGTCCGATCAAAATGTCGTAACTTTCGATCCGACCTGGAAGGGAAACTTATCGAGGGAGCCAAGTTGGACAACCACGACGGAGAAGGCGACGGGGCTTGGAGGCGGCTCGGGATGTGGTCGGAAATGGGAGCTGAGGTTCGGTCGGGTAAGGAGCTCCACCTCTCTCTCTCTATTTCTCTCTATCTCTTTTTCTCGGCTAATCGGAGGAGAAAAGTCGCACGACCACGAAGGAGGCGAAGAAGTCGTGTATGATGGAGAGAGGGAACCAGCAGTTGAAGACCCTCGCCTCCCTCTTCCTTTTAACGATGCGAATGCGTTGTGCAGGCGACGTGGGAGAAGTGTCGCGGTCGTGTCCGCGACGTGCGAGCGAATGGCTCGACGTGGGATGGCAGAATAGGTGAGATTTGAGATTTTTTTTCTTTTCTTCTTTTTTTTTTCGGTTTACCATAACAGACGGGTCAACATCTCCATAGCACTTCTCTTGGAACTTTATCATATGCTTTCTTTAAATCAATAAATATCATATGTAGATCCTTCTTATTCTCTCTATATTTCTCTATCAAACCTCTCAACAGATGTATGGCTTTCATGGGAGACCTACCCGGCATGAATCCAAATTGATTTTGAGAAACATTAGTATAACGTCGCAACCTACGCTCCATAACTCGCTCCTATAGTGTAAAGGTTTAGGCTCAGACTCCAAATAACCGGCTTTATAAATGACTAGAATAAAGAAATTTCCCCAGTATTTTACTCTTTTATCATTTTTTGCATATTCCAATAGCAGATCTACTTATATGAGCTTGATTCCAAATTTGTTTCAGGGATTTTGTAACTTTCTTACGGAGGAGAAGTTGCTTAAAGCTGTGGAAATTGGGCATGTATGCTATTTTCCTGAATGTTAAGTGTTTCATGTGTAGATAAATTCAATTTTTTTGTATTGGTTCGGCTGTTGCTAAAGCATATTGCTCAGGGATGACTTATGAAATCTTTTTATGCTTTCTTTGATTACAGAAACATGACAACTTGTTGCATGGAATTTTTTTAAACCATACTTTTTAAAACCTTCTGGTTGCTTTCTACCACATAAAAAAGGAAATATATATGTTTTTTCCTGTCCATGACTTGATTTAGAATCATAGGCTCTGGGAATTCTCAGGGTCTGACAAGTGTTATCTTTTGCTGACAAGAGATTTAAGCTTTAGGGATTATATGGATGGTATTTTTGAGTAAGCTGTGTATCATACTCTTCAGATTTGTATTTTTTAAACATGGATGTTGACCTCAATACTAGCTCCTCAACTCAACATGATCAATTATGACACCGAAGATGAACAACATATGCAGTGTTGCAAAAGAAAAAACTGAAGACTACTTAATTCCAATCAAAACTATTTGATCATCGCCTATTTTGCAAAACCTAGCTGAAACATCCAGTACTTTGAAACTATCAAGAATGGGCCCCACAATCCACTTTGATCAATTATAATGAAAACGACTAGCTACGGATGCAACATCACGAAAGCTTGGATCAAAACATGTTGCATCAATCAAAATTGAAAAATAGCGTTTGTTTTGTGAAATGGATTGTGTTGTTATGTCCAGAACATCAACAATATTATGATAGACACCCATATTGCCCTATCTATCCCATAGAAGTGACATGGAAATTTGACTGCACATGAGGTGACAATATAAATTTGAGATGCATGAGGATTGTAGAATTGCGCAAGAGCATTAATACCTATTTTAATTTTACTTTCAGAATTTAATAAAACAATCAGAATCAAATCCTCTCAAATCCCATTAAATTTGCAAATCCTTGAAATCCCAACCTTGTACGCCTTTCCCACCATCTGATTTGCATATCTTGTCCTTCCTCAACCTGAAAAACAAGGAAAGAGAAGAAGAGAACTAAAAAAATCTTCCTGCATAGAACCCTATCATGATGTCCCCTGTCTATCGTTTGACCTTGCACTCTCTTGCTCTTGCTCATGAAACTCATGTTCTTTTCTCTACGCACAAAAGTTCATTCTACCAGCTCTCCCTTCTCCCCAATGCCCCTCACCACTCTCTACTTCATGCCTAATACCTATCATCATTACTCTCCTAGAACGGCACTCGGTTATTCTCCCTTTGTGCGCATGCAAAATCCTTCTCCTTCCCAATATCTCTATCTCTCACCCATTATCCTTTACTGACCACACCTTTTTTCTCTCACTCAAACCGTCATTTGACCTCATGAGCTTCCATGCCTCCCTCTCATGCCCTATCCCTCTAAGCTCCCTCTCCATTTCGAAAAGCTATACAGCCCAACACCTTCCCTTCTCTTTGCTGCCACTTGCTCTCGAATTCTCTTCTTGGTCCGTTAGTTGTTCCACTTCAATCTCTCTTGGCTTAAGCTTCCTCAAGCATGGCCTGTCAACCCACTCAACCAACACCTGTCCCTACCTCTCCTCTCCTTGGTCCCATAGACCCTTTGTTTGCCTTTAAACCAAAAGCCACACACAAAATCCACTTCTCCTTCCCACTCATCGGCAAGCCCAATGACCTCTAGCCTGTTTACTTTTTGCAAACCATCTCTAACAAGCCACCAACTTCGATAAAATTCATTGTTAGCCAACTCCGACCAATCTCCTTCAGCAGTTGTCAATGATTATCCTCCCAACCCCTTCGGCCATCACCATTGTCTCTATGCTATCTCTTCTTCTAACTTTCTCTCTTTCTATCTCAATTCTTATCCAATTTCACACCCTCCTTTCTCACCATCTCTCTCTTTGTCTCACTTAGAGTGTATCCCTCGAACACAATCTCTCCCTTTTATCATGCCATCTTTTGTCTCTATTCTTCCTCTCGCTTTGCATCTCTTTGTATAATTTTGTTACACAAAGAAAAGGCACCAAGTGTAAAATCTTTTTTTTTTAACATTGACCATATTGGTCCGTTTATGATAGGACCTCCCATATGAATATTATATACATATGACAACATAAAAGAGTAAGGAAAAAATAAAGAGTAAAAGCTCAAAATAATCCCCCAACTATTGATAAATATTTGATTTAGTCCCAGAGTTTTACATTGCCCCAGTTTAGTCCCTCAACTACTAAAAATTGAGTCAATTTAGTCTCAAAGCCTAAAATAAGAATTAAAGTTAACACCAAAGTTAACTATGAATGGTATTTTAGGTATTACTAGTGGATGTAAGATTACATTACAAATATTATTTACTTTTAATATTTTAAATATTCTCCCATTATTTAAATATATTATATCAGAAATCTAAAATATTTAATATAAATGTTTGTCTCTAACTAGCTATAAATTGAATATACTTAAATAACTCGTGTAATTAATTTATTTCTAAAAGAATTAAATAAAAGGCGTATAGCAGGAAGCCAGGAACATGTCAAGGGCTTATAGCATGAGGTAATCTTCAACATTAATAAAATTGAACACTAAAGAAGACTACATGGGACTCTACAACTTGTCATGTGAACATAAATAAGACTTTTCACCGAATATTTGGATTGTGCTACATTTAGCATTGATAAAGTTGAAAGAATCAAAACAGAATTTTAATTAAAGTTACAACAGACGCACATTGAACTCAGAAGCTCACTTACGAGCTTGAACTAAACTTCCTCGGTGTTGTAAAAACTATAATAAGCAATTGAATTGAACTGATTGTGAAAATGTACCCCGTCAGCATTCCTATTTGTGAACAGAAAGAGGTTCCTTGTGGCGGTCTAAATGAACAAACTGCATACTAAATGCAGGCAAACAACACTCTGAAACACAATGAGCTCTAACTTGCAACAATCACCATCGAGACCACAATAGGTACATTGAAGAAGAAAGAAGACGAAACATTGAGCTTTGAAAGAAAAGCTGCATATATCTTATGGAAAATGTTCACGAAAATAAGCAAATACAATGTCTTGAACTTATTTTGATGGTAATTCTAAGTCTTGCACATGTTTCATGAGGTAATCTTCAACATTAATAAAATGACTTGAAAGTCATGCAAGCATCTTGAAAAGCGGGCAAATCCTTTAAAAAACATATCAAATTGACAAAAGTTGCACATTTGTATGTGCTTTTACAATTATTTGAAATGCTTGAACACAAAATCAGAGATTACTGCATAGATTGTAGGCAAGATAAATGCATATTTCATTGCTTAAAAAACCCCACAACCACTTTTAAAAGTGAATGACCATTTTGAAAATTTACAAACTTTTTGTTTAATGTATAAATTTGAACTCATCATTACATGAAGCCCTAGTTATAAGATAGGGTCGTAAGTCTTATTTCAAGTCCGATCATCCATGCATCCAAGATCGGAGTTGAAGAAAACCCAAAAAAACAGGTTTTCTAATTTTCACTTTCTATTCAATCAAGCTAGTTTAAAATTAAGTATTTTGTTTCACATTTGCATAAGGCTTTCAAAGCATTTGACAAATGAAATCTATTTTTTAAATACAAACTCTTGAGGCCGTGTTTATAAAGTGCAATTATAAATCTTAATCACAAACCCGGTTCTTTGTAGACGAGGATAGAGTAGACAAAATTTGTAATGTAATAAGTATCCAAATTGATTCAAACCATATGAAAACTAGAAGCTTTATTCTCTATAATCAAGTGGGTAGTGTTGATAAGGTTCAAAGCAATCAAGCTTAATGATTTAAAATATGGCAATAATAGGTTTTGTTATTGTATATCATAACCAGATAGGTTCGTTCTTAAATAAAGCTCTCAAATTACAAATGCAAATACTTTAAATATTGTAGCTAATGATAGTTAGGTTTATTAAGAAAACCTTTATCGGAGGTGACACTATCACCAAAATGTCACAAAATCTCAAAGTAAATCATGCAGGCCTCAAATTCTCACAAAAAAAAATCAATAAAATACAAAATATGAAACAAAAATTCAATGATTAATCCACCTCTTAAGTTGAAAGCGACAACCATGTACCCTCTGCAACAATGTCGATGGTGGCAAATTTTAAATTAACATTACCTTATAAAGAGTCAATATCATTTCAAGCGTATCATAATGATCACTCTAAAAAAATCTCACACTAGTAAAGATGTACATATCCTCTAATTATGCGGTTTTGCTTTGGCCGCCAAGATGTCATCACTAAATAACAATGATTTTTTTCATAAAATGGCAGCATTAAATTATGGTCAAAGTCAAAGCCCAAATATTTTTTAACAACTCAGCCTCTTAAGTTGTGAATCATATGGTGCACTTGATAGGGCTCTCTGTTAGCTAAGATTGAATTAAAGTTGTCCCTTTAGGAAAACTTTTAGGAAATTACTTGCATAAATCAACAGAACTTGGTTGAAATTTGGAATTTTAGCAAGATGAAAACAGAAGATGAGAGAAATATGGTGACAAAATACTAGATAAACTTGATAATTGATGAAAGATGGAAGAAAACAAATTAGATACATTGGATCTTCAATTCGAGAGGAAGATCCGGCTCTCCCAATCCCTAACCGGCGGTTAGAGCCCAAGCTAACCTAAGAGAAAACCAAATTCAGCAAACAAAACATACCCCTAACCCTAGGAAGAAACATCTACTTAAAGCAAAGCACAATCATCTAATCCCTAAGCAGCCCTTTTGTTTGAATTTTTCCTCCCAAAGCCATCCTTAATAACTTCTTAATTCACTGCTGGGCCCCACCAAGGAGTTATGCCTCCTACTGGGTAGAACATTTGTCCAACCTGGTGTAAACGTGAGCTGGTCCAGGGTGGATTGGCTGGACAAGTCTAACAAATACATCCTCAAGGTCCACTTGGACAAAGCAACCCATGACTTTAGACAAGAATACTGCAGTATGATTAGGTCAACTACCTTTGCTGGCCTAGTAGAATGGGGCCCATATCAACCTAGGGCGATGGAATTATGCGATTTTGATTATTATTATTTCTTTCACCATATGCTTTAGCAAATGGAGATATTTTTTTTTTCTAAAACAAAAAATGCTACTACATAGTGATTATCTTTAATTGAAAGTTTTCACTCATTATTGAAAAGGGTAATTAACCATAGGGGCTTGCACCTATTGGAAATATGAAGCCATGTCATAAAGTCCTCATGAAATGTGGGTGAAATATTAGGGTAGTGCCTTATTTGCAATTCAATATACCTTTTAAAAAATTGACCTAAAAACTCAAAACTCTCTCTGAAGGTCCTGAAGTGAATTTTCCTAGCCCATAATGAAATCTTTCAAATATTTTTGAAGCACCTAAATATTCATATTTACAAACTGTTAGATAAGATTTAACATTATCTTGAATATTATGAGAGTAAGTACTTGTTTAATTAATTAATATAGTTTAAGCATTTTAGTATGCCATTTGCTGACTGTATTACACAATCTGTAGTTTTGCTTCTCTTATGTTGCTTAATTGATACTATATGTCTTAGGCTTAATAAGATGCATTTGGTTTAGTTAGCTCTTATAGAATTCAGGGACTTTCTAATAGAAAACACCGTAAATGGTCTTAATTGAAAAGTTCTTAACTAGTACAATAAACTAAATAAAATTATTCCTGCTGTATGCCATCTGCCCTCTAATTAACTTATGGTAGCAACTATTCACTTTTGCTAATCTTTAGTGGCAAGTTGGTAGAGCATGCTTAAGTTTTTCAAAGAAAGGTTTGGCTAATAAGCAGTCTTATGTTTTCTATAGAAGCAATGGGAGTGAGTCCTGTCAATAACCTAAAATTATAATGAGTGCATAGGTTGGAGGAAGGGTGATCATTTATGTTGTGGGCTTCAAAATGTATCTATGACGCCACAATAAAATACTTACCGTGTTTGATCAATGCACTTTACAGGCTTGTGAGAACCAAAATAGATTGAGTGTGCCTATTCTAGAGATTTCCCTTGCAAGGAATATGGCTCCAACCAATGTTCATTTTAATTTTGAGGTTCAAGGTTTTCCATAGGAGAAAACTCCCAAGTTTAATTACATTCCAAGCCCATATAAGAATCAAATTGAAGATTCAAAGTCGACCAACATGTATGTGCAATGGTCGGGCTTGAAGAAAGAGGGGCCAACATATGTAAATAATTAAATTTCAAATATTGAATTAAATTTTTTTGAAAGTGTCTGATCTTATTATAATGCTGAAATTAAAGTTATATTTGCAGTTGATTTTACATTTAAAAGATAATATACATGTAGTGATTATTGCCTGCCTTCCATGAGCTAAGCTGTTCATTTCAATAATCCAATAAGCAGTCTCTTTAGGTCTGATAGTAGGATGATTCTTGATTTTCATATTCAACTTTCTTCGAATTTTTTTTTTTAACATTTTAAATGATGGTTATGCTATTAGGGATAAACAATGCAGGCTTTTCTATATCTATAATCATTGAATTTTATCTAGTGCAATAACATATATTTTAAAAAAGTAGTGCAAATAACGTAAGGGAATATTTCTCCTGGTAATACCATAATGATGCAACGATCATGTCATACACTTAGCTAACAATTTGTCCTTTGACTAGAAAGAGATATAATATAGTACCTTTTTGGATATTAACTAGAAAGGATGGAATACTCATAAACTCTTATTTGATAGACATTTAATTGGGCTTCACTTCTCTCTTTAGCTGGGAAACCAGCCAATACAACTTCATTAATTTAAGGGCCCGCACATAATATGTTTATTCCTGCAAGGACATTGATATTTTATTCTCTTTTTGTTACTTTTTTCAGTTGGGGATTAATGAATTATTTATTTTTCTTTTTATTTGCTGTTTTTAATTCTTTTATAAAAAACAGGCCTATTTTGTTAGGAAATTTGTTATTTGTCACCTGTATATATTTTTAGTTAAATTGTATATTTTTAGTTTTGACTCAATTGGTCTTATTCCTGCTTTACATGAATCCCCCCCTCTTTTTATTACACTCTGAAACTTGGTAGGTTTTGTACATTTCATTTTGTTGCTAAATAGTCTCGATTTGTGATGAAATTTGGTTTGTGTTTGCACTATCTACCAGTGAGTTCACTTTTTAATGATGATGTGTAGGTTGCAGTACGTGACATTTGCAGGGAAGTGGAAACTTTGGTCAAGATGTGTGGAAAGCCAAAAATGGTCGAGGCAATTAAATTGCCACCGGATGAGCTTTATAGACATGTTGAAGTATGCACATGTCTATGCCTTTTGTAATCCTGGTCTATTTGTATTTTGATTGACTTTTAAGTAATTAGTAATGGTAAAAAGTGGTTAAACGGTTGAGTGGATTTTTAAAAGAACAAGTGTTAAAATTCAATAATGCCTTAATTTTTGTTTTCTTACCTGTCAAGATGTTTACCATATTGTTATATTAAACTTTTGCCCCTAAGCATGACATGCTTACATTAATATAGAGTCCAAGAATTCTTATTCATTATGTCTACACATGTATATGTGTTTATAATTATGCAATCATCACTGTGGTTGCCAATTTCATCTGTTTTGGGAAAAGTTAGGGGAGAAGATCAAGGATAATGATGGTTCATTTTCATGTTCGTTCTGCTTTTGCATTTAATATAATTTTTCAATGCAGGATATTTCAGGATATGAACTGGTGAATGCTTTACAAATAAGTAGCAAAATACCAAGAAGAAAGGCTCTTTCCGTGTTGGAAGAGAAAGTTATAAGCATCCTCACCGAGAAAGGGTATGTTGCCAAGGATCAGGTGTCAGGAACAACTGACGTGGTAAATGACAAATGTGATAATGAGGATGAGGATGAGGATGAGGAGGTTGTTTCTGATGGTGAAGTTGATGAAGGAGATGTTCATATCAAGCCTGCTCGGAAGCCTATCCCATTGGTAAGGGTCAATTCTTTTTAAGGTTACCTTTTAATTATCACTTCTACTACTCACGAAACCCACTTACAGTCTTGGTTTGGTTCCCCAGTTACGTGCAATCAGCTAAATCTTTTGATTCAAAGATGAAAATAGAGTTAAAATTAGCCTAAAATCAAATAATAAATGAGTGTGCGCAGGCTTCACCTGATTACCCTTTTTTAATGGTTTTTAGTATGTTTTATTAATAGTTAAAGCATTGACATGAACTAAACATAAGTCGTATGCTGACAATTTGGGCGTTGAGGGCATTGGGTTTGGAAATTAGGACCAGCTAATAGCATGGCGTATGATAATGTTGAAGCAACAAAGACAATGCTAGTGGTTGGAGAAAAGAAGGTTGTAATTGGTGATTCCTTGTTATTTATTTATTTATTTTTAATTTTTACTCTTGATTAAAGGTGATTCCCCTATTAAAAACACTTGCACACATGTATGCATGCTCCACAAATGCACATGTAACACATTCACATTACCATAATAAGAATTCCAAAAAAAAGATACTGTCCCCCTCTAGTCAACCGTAAGACATAATGGAGGCAGACAATTCGGCCAGACATATTTTTTCACTGATGGGGAATTTTTGTCAACCTATTTGAAATAGTTTGTGTTTGATTACAATATAAAAAATAATACATTATCATTAAGGACAAAAATATTATTTCATTATGGGCTCTATAACTAAAGAAAATTTGAACTTTTTATGTTTCCAAAGATTTTTATTATACAGTATATCTGATTGAGGATTGTTTATTTTTGTATGAAGTGCAAGTTTCTTACAAGGGAAACCCCCTATGGTTCATTATATTCCAAGAGTGTTTGATTCTTCATAAAATATTTAATTAAAATAGTAATATGAGGCCATCCCAAACAAAGTATCAAAAGAAAAACTTAGAAAAAAAATGTATTTTTAATGTAAACCCAGAGTAAACACACATTCATTACAAAAATAATCAACCGAAAGAATAATGTAGAGGTGAGGTTATTCATAACCAGGAAAATACTAAAAAACTATTAAGTTACCTATCTTTTTTTTTTTTTATATATATATAACATATCCATGAAATTTGTCCTTATTAAGTTATCTATCTTATATAACCCAGTTAAGTTTAAAACAACATCTGTGAGCAATTGCTATTAAATGATAATTTTTAATTTGTTCACCCTTTTTGGGTATGGTCACATACATCGAAGAACAAATATATCTACCATAATACTTAATGACAAGTTCCCTCAATACAACAATCATCAAATAATTATTTTATGCCAAACATTATAATCACATGCATAAAAAGAAAAATCTTAATCTTAGCACACGTAATGGCTTTGTATCTATTGTGTATTGGCTTGTGTGGTTGTCACACTCATTTGATATGTTTTTTACTGTGGAATTTGAAGAGATTTAATTTGATAGAGAGGATGCACTTGAGGTACTTTTCGTCAATAGGTAGACAAAGGAGGAATGACTAACGATGACCAGGATGTCCTTGGAGTGGAAAGCGTTGGCATGGTACCAGTGGAGGGATACAAGGTGACCCATACGGACCTGGAGGGAGTTTAAGGACTGCTTGTTGGAATGTTTCTGGACTAGCAGAAGAGGGGACTTCTATGAACAGTTCTTCGCCCTGATGTAGGAAGGGACGCTGGTGGAGTATTGTGAGCTATGTTGCACGGATACGCCTATTTACGAGGCATGCTTTATCGGACACATGTCGGATACGGATACGCTTTCGATGCGGCACGGATACGGCTTTGCCGTGTCCAATTAAAATATTATTTAAATTTGATCGGACATGCGTATCGGATACGCGTGTCCTATTAAAAAAAACATAGCTTCAATTTGCCCTATTCAATTCGGCTATCCGCTCGATGTCCCTATTCATTTGTGATGGATACGTGCCACCAGGATAGAATGTCATTAGAACGAAGTTGTTGCAAAGAGAGAGGGATAATATTGAGAAGTTGCTCGAGCCTACTAGAAGAGTTTGGAAGAAAAAAAGAGTTTGGTTTGTGATGGGTGGACAGATCTAACAAGAAGACCACTTATCAACTTCATGGATGCAACAAAGAGTTATTCTATGTTTATCAAAGCTGTAAACTGTGAAGGACAGTACAAGGATAAGTTCTTCATTTCTAATTTAATCAAAGAAGTTAACATAATGGTGGGGCCTTCAAACATCATCCAGGTCATTACTGATAATGCACTTGTTTGTAGAGCTGCAGGTCTACTTGTAGAGCAAGTCTATCCTCATATTTTCTGGACACCATTTGTTGTGCATACGCTTAATCTTGCCTTGAAGAACATTTGTGCAATTAAGAATACCGAGACAAACGAAATCACCTACAGTGAATGTCATTGGATCACAGTGATTACTGGAGATGCAGTTGTAATTAGGAATTTTATTATGAATCACTCCATGAGGCTCTCGATGTTCAATGATTTTTCTAATTTGAAGATGTTTGCAGTTACTAAAACTCGGTTTGCCTCAGTTATAGTGATGTTGAGAAGATTCAAAAAATAAAAAAATGCTCTTCAAGTTATGATGATCAATTGCAAATGGTCCTGTTATAGGGAAGATGATGTTGGAAAGGCTAGGTATGTAAAGGAGAAGCTTTTAGATGATTTATGGTGGGATGAGATTGAATACATCTTAAACTTCATAGATCCAATTTATGAGATGTTGAGAGTAGCAGATACGGATAAGCTTTGTTTGATGTGGGATTCAATTATAGTCAAAGTAAAAAAAAATTATATATAAACATGAGAGAAAAGCACTTCATGAATAAAGCTTTTGGGATATTATTTATGCTATTCTAGAAGATAGGTGGAGCAAAAGTAATACTCCTTTACATTGCTTGGCTTACTCACTAAATCCCAAATAAATTTCAACATTTTTTCATTATTAATTTACAATTTATTGTTTAGTAATTTCAATATTTTTTTTATTATTTGCTTTTAATATTCTTTGAAGATATTCAACTAAAGAATGGCTTCAAGAAGATCCTCAAAGAATTTCACCATAGAAAGATTTAGAAATTTCAAAAATGAGGAAGACATATTTGAAGCGTTATTTTCCAAATGAGGAAATTTTAAAAATTATAAGTAATTATTTTTTATTATATATTTAAGAATTTTGAAAATTATTATGATTATTTTTTATTTGAATATTTTATACAATTTTTTTCCAACAAATTCTCATAGAAGAAGTATCCATCATGCATACATTGTTGGAACTAGAAAATACAAGTTGTTTAGTCCCACATCACTTAGGAGCTTTATGTTTTGTTGTTTATATACCTTTTCTTGTATGAATTGGTTAAGTGCCCTCATGGGATGAAGGAATCATGTTGTTATGATACCTTTGTATTTAATAATGTATATAATATTAAAAATTTTTGGAATTATATATCATATTTAAGTTAATTTAATATTTTAAAAAAATATTTTATATTAAATTAAATTATTTAAACATATTAGAATTGAACCGAGCGGTTCTTAAGAACCCGACCGGTGAACCGGTCGGCCGGTTCAACCGGCGGTTCAAACCGGTTTCACCGGTTTGATGCTAGACTGGTTTCTTAAGAGGACCGAACCGGCCTCAGGACTAGTTCACGGTTGAACCGGTCTGTCTGGCCCGGTTTTCAAAGCTTGGGATACAATGTTATGAATGATGTTGCTTTTCAATTTTTTTGTCATTTCAAATATTATGCTTTGATTAATTTGTTATTTTTATGTATGATTTATATATTATAATGCCGTATCCGTGCTGTATCAGTATACTATATTTTTGAGAATTGCCGTGTCTCGTATCCGTGTAGCCGTATCCGTATCGGTGCAACATAGATTGTGAGTAGTTTGAGCACTTGGCCATCCAATTGGACCGGCTTTCGGAGATTGTACTGGAGAGAAATTTTATGAAAAGGCTCAAATCAGAGATTCAAGCGATAGTTGAGTGATGAGGCCTCGTAATTTGGGAGAGATTATAGCCAGTTAGTTGAGGATCAAAGACACTTAGAGAGAGGGTTCAGAGGCAGCAGCTCAGGAGACCCCGAAGGAGAAGACTGTAGGAGGGAGATATGGGGAAAACTTCAAGAAATTCTTTGAAATGGAGTTACACAAGGCTGGGGTTTAGGGGCTCGGTTTCAGATGTGAGGAGATGTATACATTGGGCAAAGATGTAATGATCAAACTCTTCTGGTTCTCACCGTTTGTGATGACGACGAAATTGTGAAAGGAGCCATCTTTCCACCTTGCAGGCAAGGTGGGTCTTTGAGAGGGGGGGAGGGTGGGGTGGGTGTTGCTAGACTGGTCCAGGAGGGACCGGCTCCTGTTACTGGAGGCAGACAAGTTCCGCCCCAAACTCATGCCCCCCCCCCCTCTTTTGGGGATGGGTCTAGCAGTCATTAGAGGATGGATTAAGGAGGAATAGGAGGGAACATTCAAAAGAGGGGTTATTTTGGGATTTACATCATTATTGGATGTTTTAAATAAGTAATTTTTCTAGGGTTAAGGTTATGGGTTATTTGCTGAAGTTAGATTGTTTTTAGGGTGTTTGGGCTCTAGCCGACGGCTAAAGATTTGGTAGAGCCGGATCATCCTCTCCAATTGAAGATCCACTTGTATCATGTATTTTCTTTCATAAAACTTTCAATAAAAAATGTTCGTGTATATATTCTTAGTTTTTTTGTCGTTGGTTTTCTGAAATTGTTGAAATCATATTTCAGCCAAGGCTTTCCCTGAGTTTCTGCAAGCACTTCCTAACATAACCAAATTATAGACAATTACAAAAATAGTCAAATTGAGTCAACTAGTTTAATTGAAGCCTATTGTGTAGATTTGAGTCGAAAATCATGTTGACATCCACCAACACCCATTGTGTCTTTTACTAATTAGGATCAAGCAAGTAAAACATTTGTCTATCAAGATCATCACAAAACATACATTACACTTATTAATCCTTTAATAGACCATCATAAATATTAATATGAAAATATACATAATTTAAATCACTAGATGAACTGCAAAGCTTCTAAATAAGTTTCACATATAAATTTTTATCAGCAAACAGTTATTTAATTTACATCATAAACGTTCTTTCATCTAAATCACACCATCTATACACCCAACTCGAAAATACATGATAAAATGAGGTCACCTAACTGTGGCCCAACGTGCTCCTTTTTCTTGCCTAAAACAACACTTATAATATCTGATGAGCTAATAGATCATTTTTTTAAAGCTATTCTAATATGAATTTCAATCATACAAGCAATTCTAATATAAAGTTCAAACATATAAGAAAATAACATAATATTATGCTGATTAGTTAAATTAATGAGCATTATTATTCATAGATATAGCTAGTTTAATGCAATAAACTTTAAAACATGATATGCTTCATTAGTTAAACTAGTAAAAGTTTCAATGGTATACCGTAGGGATCAATGTTTACAATAAATTTTACTTCAATTGTCATCTATTAAAAAAAAAATGTCAACTATTAAATTTTTGACGCTGGTATCAGATTTTTTCGTTTTACTTGCACTTTTTGTTTCATTCCTAATGATCGTAGGCTTATGAATGTGATATAATATCTTATAGACTTTAGAACCTTTATATCATTTGATTGTCACTTAGCCTATTGGTCCTAATAACCATTGATAAAATTTGAATTTAATCTAACATAATATTTATCAACAACCTCTCAATCAAGATTTGGTCATTTCTTGCAAACTTCTAATATTTTTGGCCTCTATTAAGGCTCTTCTCATCAAAACAATTGCTCTCTATATGCATATGTTCATTATTTGACAACCTATTTCATTTGAAATGACCTTTGAAGACTTACTTTATTTTAGCATTATTATCATAGGCATTTAAAGTAATTTTAGCATTTTTGTGCATATGAATTCATCAATGTATCAACCTATAATTGAGACTTCAATACACAACATTTGAAATAACATATAAATATTTTAATATACATTAAGGCTTGCACAATGTGGAAATAACATTGGAGTATTTTTACAGGACAATACGTGTTATGCATTGGACTTTTCAATAATATTAAATATCATTAAAATATTTGATACGAAGAAAATTTTTATTCTTATGAACATAACAGTTTCTTTAATCATAGAAATGGCAACATTAGGCCTTATGAGTACTTTACTCGCTATATTAGACATTAAGTATCTCACTGCAATTAAATGATCCTCATTTTGAAGGATTTTCTTATTTATATCTCCCCAAAGTCATTTTTTTAGAAACAACCTAATAATAATAATTTTTTTTTTAATTTATAATAATTTTATATTTAACAACACAACTCTAACTCAAATAACCTCAAAATTACATTTTTTTTTTAACCTTGAAAGGATTTCTCTTAATTCAAGCCTTGAAGCCTGTCAACTTGAAATCAACCTCAATTTACACCCAAAAAATAAAGACTAAAAATTGGATTTCTTACCTAAAACTTTTACCTCCGTCTTCTCTTCTTTTTTATTTCCCTCTAGGGCCAAACCCTTCTCTGCTCTTTGTTTGGAGTTGTGAGATGAAGAAATCAGAATATGTAATCAAAGGGTTGTTCAGGTCGATATAAGTAATTACATTTATCTTCATCTAATTTCCGTTTTACATCTGGAGTACATTAGGTACTGCTACAATAACGTAAATAGGTGAACAGTAAAATCAAACTATAATAAATTAGCTTTATATAAGTCAATATCCTAATATTTACATGTATACATATACATCAAATTGATTATAATAAAATGTAGAATATCATAAAAATATTTTTTATTTTACTTTAGGGACAGAAAAAACAAGTGTAAACTTTAGGAGAAATTTTGATTTTACGTTTTATATTTTTGGGCATAATAGACACTGCCCTTTTTCTATGTTTGTCTATGATGCTTGTATGTACTTTCTCGTTTTCAATATCCAATGAACATTAGATCTAACATGCTTGAAATTTTCTGTACATCTGTGTATGCTGTTATCATTATAATTTACTTTTTAGACGCCTATGATATTCCTACCTTATGTGACAGTTCACTTGATTCTCCTGTATGAAAACAATTTTTCTATAAAACTTTCAACGCCTATCAAATTTCCTTTTGCAGTTGTTCTCGGAAGTTGATGTGAAGCTAGTTTTCAAGGAAGTTACTTCGAAATTTCTGCGCAAACGAATTGTTGAGGTTTGATTTGCAAACCAATTTGACCAGATTAAGTTGAGGCTTCTGAATTGGAATAATCTTCACGTTTCCCTTTTAATCTGATCCGTGAAATTTATTTAGATATGATAGATTTGTATGTCAGAATTCGTGTTCAAGTCATCTATATCCTCAAAATTATAGAATTTGAACCGTGTATAATGTTGCATTTGAACAATATTTTTTTATCTTAATATTACATGTTTGTCACTATTAACTTAGTTTTTTTAATTTTAGTATCATGCAAATCACCTAAAGTTATCAAAGTTGGGATGTTGTGAATGTTTTTTGCCAATGCGCTAACCATCTTATAGCAGAAAGCACAGCATAAAATGCCTGAGACTTTTGGGGTTTTAGGAACTTGGAAGTCATCCTTGAAGCCTTTTAAAATGAAATGCCAATATGAAAGGGAGTTTATAAGAATAAAAAAATGACGGTCTTGATGACGTGAATGTTTCTGCATAAGGTTCTTGCATAATCTTAGTTGGAAAAAATGGTTTATGGCTAATCTAACTGCAAGATCTGAAATAAGTTGCCGAATAAAGTTTCCATACCCCAATCAATAGATTCGTGGAGGTCCTTCATAGTGCCTTAAGATTGCACCCATCTTGGAATGGCCTTGGTCAGTTTGCTATAAGATCCAGAGCTGACGTTGTGATTAATTTGAAGTTCAGAATTTGCCTTAGGTCTGCGATCAGAAAGGAAAGTAGAAAAGAGACATTAGGATGATAAAAACAAATAAGAGTAAAGGAAGATAAGAACAAACATCAAGACTCCATGGTAGTCATACGACTTATACCTGAGCAAGGAATCCTTCATTCATGCATTAAGAAAAAGAACACAGACTAGAAAATTAGCCCAAAGTTCCATGTCAACCCAAAAAGAAGTTGAGGATAAAGGCTGCATACTAGAATAAATGTGTCCTTTTTTTTACTGGATTAACATCCATATTGCACACAATGATAACGATTGTATGATCAAACTTGACTTGATTGATCCTTACGCGGACATCTAAGCTGCAATTTGCTCTGAAATATTGTTGAGACCTTATGCTGATTCTGATGTAAGAGATACAACTTTACGGGGTTTCCTTGCTGCAAAATCATGTTTGCCTTTTTTCACATCTTCCTTTGTGAATTGTCTTGGAAGTCTGCACACTTTGATAGATGATGTTAGGGGCATGCAAAGTTTGCAGAAAAGGCAAGAAGTTTTTTTTTTTTTTTTTCAATTTTCTTTTGGATTTTTTATTTTCCATTCACGTTATTTTGTAAAACTTAATGGGGGAAATCATTAAGAACATTGGTTATTTGGATTATTTTTATTTGTGGTCTGTTTTAGTGAACATTTAGTTGATCTTTTATTGCATTGGTCATTAAAACTATTTGCACAATTAGAGGGGCTAGAAATCGTGTAAAGCAGATATTACTGCCAGGGGAATTAATTTTGTAGTCAAGTATGAACGTAATTTTTTTCTTTTTTTTTTTCGTTACTATATTAGGAGTATAAAATTATTATTCATGATGGGAGATCAAGAATTTTCATGTGAAGAATTTGCTGGAGCACTGACGTCATACAATAACCATTTTCTTTCATTGTTTTTCTACAATAACCAATATGCTAATATGAAATTAATGCAACTGATGACAGGCATTTCTTACTTTCATTTCTTCGTCATGCCACGTTCTGATGTTCATTTGCACTTCGATGCAATTAGTTTATTTCCTTATGGTTATTTGTGGTTAATAGGGCATTTAATGCCATTATCTAGTTCATTACGAGTTTCTTTTTTTAATATTCATTTTTCTAATTAGGATGCTGCTGCGAACAATTTAAGTATTATGTTTGATGAATGTTTACTTCTTGCTATGTACTTGATGGCTATTTTGTTTCTTCTAGGTTCTGTACTGATAAACTAAGTTTTCTATTCCAGGGAAGCTTTAGTTTTTGTGCAAAAGTTTTCTTTATATCTCGAGAATCTTTCTTCATTAAATCGATAAAATTTCTCCTACTTTCCTCTCCATTACTTCATTATGGCATTTGGGCAAATGTTTCCTCATTACATGAAAAAAAATTGTTGAATGATCATGGGATCTAAAAGTTAATCAATTATGATAGGGATCCTTGAGCACAAGGATTAGGTGTTCCAACTATTGGATCAATCCTCTTATGACCCTTAAATTGTAATTTGTATACTATGATGCACCAACACTTTTCTTTAAAGAGATATTGTGGGCTCCGAAAATTCGGCCCCGGCCTCCGCTCGCGCTTTTCTTTTTATTTTCGGCGAGGGAGTTTTAACGGAATAAGTTCCGGGGTAAATTTTGGAAGGCAGATGGGTTTGTAGATAAGACACTACCCAGAGATTTCGCCCTCATTTTGTGAGGACTTTATGATCTGAGTTCTGGCTTCCTATAGGCGCAAGCCCCTATAGTTAATTACCACTC